TGACTAGCTCCTTTAGTGTGTATTGTCAGCCAGTAAGATCTGAAATAAGTTATGTATGAGTTTGTTTTATATGCTGTTAGAGTTTTTGAACAGGCTCTACTCCTCCCATGTTGCCACTGAATGATGGCTCCTATGGCGTCACTAGTTAAGTAAGTGGTGCCGCTAGTTAATTCGGCCATGTTTACTGTTATGCTTTACAGGAATCGTAAAACACCTCAGCTCCTCCCTCTTGCTACTACATCCCCCACCAAGGCAGTTTCCTAGGTTTTATTGGCAACACAATTTAGTTTTCTTTAGACTTCACAACTCTCGCTTTACCCATTCTGCCCCGCTTGTGTCACCTTGCACCCACTGGTCCAGGCTCCTGTCTGACAACCCTCCTATACTTGTCCTGCCCCTGATTCCCTTTCCCCTTCCCTCATTTTTTTTTTACTCTTGAACCCCTTCTGCACAAAATGAGGGTTGAACACCGACATCCATGTGGCCCAAATAGACTACACCCATCATAATGACCTGTTTATTTTTTTTAGTTCCAGACCCACTATGTCTCTGCCTTATGAAGGAGCTCCAAATCTTTGGAAATCTGTCAAGGTTTAAAAAACCTTCCAAAATTCGGGCATAGTGCCCGTGCCTGCCCTTTCAAAAATCACCTACTATTAGTAGGTATAAAATGTACCTGCACCTAGTCAAGGATGATGCCACACTCCTTCCGATTAGATCCTGCTAAAAATCTCACAAAAAAACAATCTTGCAATTGACTGGAGTGTCTGCTCTGTACTCCTCAGGGATCGGCCCAGAAGTATGGTGATGTCACGCATAGTGATGCAGAAGAGGGGTAAGGTAAGTATAAATCTAACCTTTTACAGGTACATTTTACACCTACTAAAAGTAGATGATTTCATAAGGGGGAGGGGTGTCAGGGCAATTTGAGTGGACCTTGCATTTTACTGCAAGGTCTTTTTTAAAATATTTTTTCTGGGTGCATGCTAGCCACCTGATCACTATTACATACTGTATGTCTAGGTGGGTGATTGAGTGAACACCTGCTGCCTCTATAAAGATAATCTGTCACATTGGGGGCTTATCAGCCCTCTTGCGATAGTAGCAAATAGAAAAGAAAAGTAAAAAAATAACATATAGTGAAATAATAAAATCAGTCACAATTTAGTTAGAGAAACTTAATTCAGACCTTCTACCAAATACTAGAAGTAGAAGTTAACTAACAATTTGCATAAACATTTTAGCTATACAGTGTGAAAGGAAGGCAAATGGAGCTTTTGTGTGCTTTCACAGCAGGCATCCACACAGCAGTGTGTGTTCTTCCTGGACACTGTAGACGATGCGTCTATATCCCAAGTTATCACAGAAATTTCAAAGTCTCACTTGGCTTTTCGAGAGTAACCCCGGAAGCAGGAAAAGTCATTTTTTATGTAAGTTTTGTCCCTTATTTTAAAACATGTTTGCTTGTATATACAGTATGTCTCAATCTGCAACTTCTGTTTGTGTAACTGCACCTTTTCTTATGCACTGCCTGCCTAGGGATATGAAATATATAAAATGAATAAGCTGGTTTTTGATTGCTCTAAAGAATGCATGATGCTGAAGAGACTGTTGTGTGACACTTTGGGTGTGTAGGTGTATTGTATCATCAGTGCCTATAAGTTGGTAAGTAATTGTCAGCCAGGGATCTTATGTGTGTGTGGGAAGTGGAAAAGGTGACTGCATGGGATTCCGGCTCACAGAATATTTTGAGGAACCTTAAAGGCGTGGGGAAATCACTTGGGCTGCCGAACGACCATTAGAGCTGCGTGGCATCTGCCTGTGTGTGTGTCCAGCCAGCTGGATTTGGGTGATTCTCCCTCCATTGGGGGCCAGCTGAGCCTGTGAGTGGATGTACTAAATCTATCAATGGTATTGCCTGGTCTAGCTAACCTGTACCTGCTACAGAGAGCAGTGTCTGTGAGGCCTGTATATCAATCTGCCAACAGTGCCCTTGTGATTAGCAGCCTCTGCTTACAAGCAGATGTTTTTCTATGGGGTTTATATTCCATAGATGAACTCAAAACGAATAAATCTTTCTTTCAGATGGCTCAGGCACATTACCAGTTAATAGGCATGACAATTATTTTTAAAATGTTAACAATGAGATGAGATGAGCATTATTTTAAATGTGTTAGCAATTGTACTGGTGAAGAAATCTACTGTAACTGGTGTTGTTGTTAATATGCTTTTTTTGGCTAATTTAAAAAAATAAAATAAGATTAAACAGATTTAGCTATAGGACTTAATTTATTTAAATCAAGAGCACACATACTAATAATTTTTACTTTTAAAGATGACTTGAAGTATATCAAAGCCTTCCCATCTGTGGCCACCAGGTGCAGTCTGAGCCTACTTCACAGTAAACAAGAAAAATGCAAAAAAGCAGCTCCAGAGGTAGTCATATATAGTCTCGGCGAAAGAGTGGATGTAATGGCATCTATGCAGGAGGCAGCTCCAAAAGCAGTCGGGGAGACTGGAGACACTACAAGACAAAAACGAGAGGAGCGCCTTCTCCTAGTGCAGATACATTTTATTTTTCAATTAGCAATAAGATAAAGTCTAGAAATGGATACTCACAAGAGTGGAAGATCACAAGCATTAGGCACAATGTAAAAACGAAAGCCAAACTGGAACAGTGGCAGTCAGTCAGATGTGTCCTATGTGCAGATCAGTGTACCAACGTGTGCTGATCTGCACATAGGACACATCTGACTGACTGCCACTGTTCCAGTTTGGCTTTCGTTTTTACATTGTGCCTAATGCTTGTGATCTTCCACTCTTGTGAGTATCCATTTCTAGACTTTATCTTATTGCTAATTGAAAAATAAAATGTATCTGCACTAGGAGAAGACGCTCCTCTCGTTTTTGTCTTCTACTTCACAGTAAGTACTGGCTGGAACCTTGCTGCCTGTTGCTGCTCCCTGAACCAGAAGCCCAACCTTTTTCACCACCCAAATTGAATGATCACATCAAAAACCTTTGTGACAGATTTTCTGCAACAGTCCTCCACCAGATATGGTTCAGAGGAGTGCAAATTCCTTCTGCTGCTATACTCTTAGTTTACCTATAGTTTCTCTTAGCACCTGCTTTTTACAGATCCAAATTTAATGGAAGGAAAATCAGATCTTGGAGAAATCTCAAATGAGACAACTCATCAGATGCAACAGGCTACAAGTGGTCAGATGTCACAAACAGAACACAACCTTCTGTCTATGATGGTAGATGTTAAGCCTGCCTCTCATATGTATCGGCTTTGAAGTGTAGAAGACAAAAAGGAACGTTCCACCTTCTTAAAGGAGAACTATGGGGTTAAGGCTTTTCTCCATAGTTCTCCTTAGGGTAACGCGAGGACACAAACTAGCGTCCTCCCGTCACCCTAGGCTCAGTATACCGGGAGCTTTAGCTCGCGGTATACTGAGACGCTGCAGCTGAAGCGGATCCTGACAATTGTGCCGGGATCCTCCCAGCTGCTTGAATGACAGCTGGCTCTGCCTAGCCTATCTAGAGGCAGTGCCAGCTGTACCCGCCCCCTCCCCCGTTAGTTCTGCCAGTCAGCGCTGGCGGATCGGAGTGGGGAGGGGGGAATCCAGCCCCTCCCCTGTCACGGCAGAGAGCTGTGACCGGATCGAGAGGCGAGCGAACCCGGGATGTGTTCGCTCACCTCCCGATCTACTGAGCCGACCTGTGACAGTCTCATTGTCACAGGTCGGCTAGAACTATGAGGTGAGTGAAAAGCACTCACCTCATAGTTCTCATTTAAGTTCTCAATCTCTTTCTCTAACTAAAAGTGACTAAACAGACCTCTGATATTTTCCAAAAGCCACCCCGAGCTGTTAAAAAAATAATAAAAACAAAAGAATAAAAAAAGCAGAAATAAAAACACCCCCTACACAAATTAATTTGGGTAGTGTCATATGAATAATCGTCAATGTATCACAGTATTGAAAACTGATAAATGTCCTGGAAAGAAAAGGGGTGTAGTGTGGGTCCTTAACTGGTTAAAAAAAAAATATGTTTTATATTATACTAACTATATATCAGGTTAAGGGCCTGAGTCGATGGGCTTTTTTGCATCAAGTGAGTTTTGCATTCCCATAGAAGTCAGAAGGAAGTCTGAACCTGTTAATGTACAGTATTGTAAATGAACTCAGCTTCTATCTTTCATTTTTAAAGCTTAAAGGAGAACTATGCGGTGAGTGCTTTTCAATCACCTCATAGTTCTAGCCGACCTGTGACAATGAGACTGTCACAGGTCGGCTCAGTAGATCGGGAGGTGATCGAACACATACCGCCGTTCGCTCAACTCTCGATCCTGTCACGGCTCTCTGCCGTGACAGGGGAGGGGCTGGATTCCCCCCTCCCCGTTCCTCCAGCGCTGACTGTCAGATCGTACGGGGGAGTGGCCGGGTACAGCTGGCTCTGCCTCTAGATAGGCAGAGCCAGCTGTCACTTACGCAGCCGGGCGGATCCAAACATAATTGTCGGGATCCGCTTCAGCTGCGGCGTCTTAGTATACCGCGAGCTGTAGCTTGCGGTATACTGAGCTTAGGGTGACGGGAGGACGCTAGTTTGTGTCCTCCCTTTATCCTAAGGAGAACTATGGGGAAAAGCCTTAACCCCATAGTTCTCCTTTAACTGAACAAACTGAAGATAGAAGCTGATTGGTTACTATGTGCAACGGCTCCAGATTCTGTCTGCTGCAATTTTGATAGTTCCCTCTATGTATTTAGACCATAACACACAGTTCTAAACGATTTCTCATTACATGTGTAAACGATTTGAAATTTGTCGGGGAATTGAAGCAGCTAGCTTTCCGTTGTAATCTAAACAGCAGTACAGTGCACTTCTGCTCCGCTCAAGCACGCTACCGAGCGGAACCCAGACATCATATCCTTTTTCCGGGGTACAATTTACTAAGCGTACAGCTTCAAGACGTAGAACTCAGAGACTCCATTCCATTTCCGGGGGAATATTTACTTGGTGTATAGTTTCCGGAAGCGCTTAGGGGGCGTCCTGTCCTAAGATGGCGGCGCTGACAGGTAAGAAGGTTATGGGATTGTTATCTATATTGAATAAAGGACATTGGTATGGTTTGTTTCGGTGAGCAACATGATAATGTTGAGGGCAATGTGTGTCGTTTGTTGTCTAATGGTGTCTTACGTGTTTAGTGTTATGAAAGAGCAGACAAGTCACAAAGGTTTCTCTGTGTTCCAGCTCCTCGTCTGTCTCTGCTTTGGTCCCAGGCGTTTCGGTGAGTAGCATAAACGTTTTCCTATTTATTTTCTGTAGACGTATACTGACATGCTTCTCTCTCCACCTCACACAGACCTCCCTGCCTGGCATCCCTTCATACTCGAGTCTGGCAACCAATATCAGAAAATGAAAACAGCATCAGGTGACTATAGCATGCATGTGAATAGGGCAGGTTTATGTACAGCAATTCCATTAACCCCTTGCTGTAGTAACTCCTGTTAGCCCCTTTAATGGGTTTTTAAAGGGTAATCCCCCTTTCTCAGGTGACTTTGGAAAAATGCAATTACCCTCACTGATCTTTCCCATTAGCAAGAAGCGCTTCTCATTGGTCTGTGTGGTCAGGTGGCTGTGCTGACCAATGAGTGCTTGTCATTTGCAGCGTAATTTAAAATACTGACCGCAGGGCTGTGCTACCGTGTACGGATAGTACATCGGCAGCTGCAGAGAGTTTGCTCCAAGGTAAGCGCAGTGGGGAGGGGGCAATTCCATTTTCTCAAATTTGCCTGGGAAGGTGGAATTACCCTTTAACTTCAGGAATTGAAGGTGGCCTTCTGATCATGTGATTGGTTGTCACAATGGTCATAAGATTGCATTCCACGCCAGCTCCTGAAAGTAAACTGTGACTGGGAGGTGTCATGAAAGCTTGGTCACTGTACTGGGAGTGCAGCAGTGAGCACTCTTTCAACACAGTGGAGCTGATGCATATATACATTAAGGCCCCCTTGCTGTGCTGGTGGATATATGCGTTACACTGCAGTGAACAGGTTAAAGTATGTCCACAACCACAGAGGTAATGTCTCACAATGGATAACTGCTCAGATCTGGAAGAAATAATGGAAAATTGTATACTTACCTACCGGTAATTTTCCTTTCCTGACGCCAATACATGGCAGCATACAATGGGTATGGCTCCGCCCCCCACCATTGTATGCTGCCATGGATTGGCGTCAGGAAACAAAGTTCTCTTATCTTGGAGGTTAGCTTTAACGTGTGATCACACCAGGCAACCCTGTATGGTCATGTTGGCTGCAGAAGCTAGGTGGCAGGTGAATGGAACGGGGGGGATTATTGCTTGAGAGTTACTATTAACTCTTAAACAACCAGAAATGACAGTTATCCAGCACCTATCGATCCCCGTGGGTGCCAGATAACTGGGAATTTACTGTACATTAAAACTGAGATCCAGGCTGATATAGCAAATACATTTATGTAATTAAAAATCATTACCTTTTATTTTCAATTGCAACTAATGTAAGTACATGAAAGTGTCTTGGTATTGGCTTCTTGAAATCCCCTATATAACCGAAATCAGACAGAAAGAACATTTGTCACTCAATCAGGTGTGCTGCATGTGTTGTCAAGGAACATGCTGACAGGAGGAGAAAGCAGAGGAATTAATTTAGCAATGTGCTGCTACTCCTTCATTGTCCAGTCCCAGGCTGGGGGAGGGCGGTAACCAGGCTGTATTGTATAACTGCAATACCGAAAAAGTTGAGTCATCAAACGGGCTTTGTTGTCTGACAGGGCTGTAAATTTAGGACGAACATACAAATCTTCTGGCAAGAAAATAGCTCCTAAAGATGTATTGAAACTGTGCATTTGCTTGGAGTTCATCTATAACTTGACAAATGTAATTTTTTTTTATTTTTAGGTTTAAAATGCTTTTATCTGCTCGTGTGTGTGTGTGTGTGTATATATATGTATGTGTATGTATGTGTATGTATGTGTATGTATGTGTATGTATGTATGTATGTGTGTATATATATATATATATATATATTCTTGTCTGTTACAGCACTTTGCCAGCGAGACAGAAAAGTAGCGCTGTCACTGCAGCTAAATCATCAGCTCCAAGTGGAAAAGTGGAATTTATAGTCACCAAACTCGATGATCTAGTGAACTGGGCTCGAAGGGTAAGGTTGTGGTGTGGTTTTTCTTTTCTTAATTTGCATTGTACAGATATATATCCTTGTTTGAGAATAACGTTTTTTTCTTAAAGGGGACGTGTACACATTTAGTTTTTATCATATAGATGAGGATTTGTGACTTAAGTCTATGCAGATTTCCAATTTCACCCTTTTATAGTGGCAGTTACAATTACCATTTGTTAACTGCTGAGATAAAGTCACTCTATAGACTTTATAGTTTTCATCATAGACAACAATGAAAAAAACCCTAAGAGTATGTTCTAAACCAGTGGTTCTCAACCTGTGTAAGCTCAGGACCCATATTTGTCCTTGGTCATTAAGTCACGACCCAAGTCACGCTGCACTGGAACGCACGGCATTACGGTACCGTGCGTTCCAGTGCAGGCAATTGAACTGTTGGCAGGAGGTGTGTTTTGAGGTGCCATTCAAATGAAACGCACCTTCCACACCAGAACGTGTAGTAGGTGCCATTGCATGGTACAGTGGGTTAACGCACTGTGCTAATGTGAACTGGCCCCCAAAAACACTGACAGACGCACACAACTATAGACACATTCTCACACACATTTAAAAAAAAAGTTTTTAAGATCCACCCAGTCTCCCTATCTTACTAAAACTGGAGTGGATCCTCAGCTTGGGGTCCAGTGTGGGCTGCTGTGATGGAGCTCCATCCATATGTGCATTGCTTGTACAGCTCCCTTGCATGCCCTGTAGAGGTGACGGGAGCCAGAATGTGACATCACACCGGTCCAAGCACCTCTACAGAACATGCGAGGAAGCTGTAAGCAATGCATGTATGGATGGAGCTCCCTCGCGGATCCCACCTTAAGCTCACACTCAGCGCTGGGCAGCATATGAATGGCTGCTTGGCGTGAGAACTGATATTGCTCTGCCATGGGGAGGCTGAGAAGCCCTCACCTCGAAAAGTGTAAGGCACACGGCGACCCACTGAACGCGGGGTCGCCACCCACTTTTGGGTCACGACCCACCAGTTGAGAACCAAGGTTCTAAACCATAACATTTAAGTTGGGTTTATCCATACTTTGCCTTATTGACCACTGTGACTGGAGTAGGTATCTGATTTAAAAAAAGATGTTTTGCTATATAAAGGGGAAAAAAGACCAAAATTTTTGAGAATAACCTTTCTCTTCCTTTATGTAATAAAACATATAAAAAAATGTCAGGAGTGTATGAAAACCCCCCCAAAATGTTTTGAAAAGTAGACACCCCAAGTGGATCTGATTTTTTTTTTTTGCCCACAATTTCTGGGGGAAATGAAGATACATGTCAGTTTGAAAGGGTTATAACGTGGAGCTTGGTAATGGTGCAGAGATACAATAAATGTACAGGTCATAGACCGAGGAGGAGGTTAAGGGGTTAATGTCCAGCTCGCATACCGTGGGAGGATGGAGGTGAAGGGTTTGATACACACATCAGAGCAGAGAAAAAATGGCAGAGGGGGGGTTGAAAGGGTTAAAAATGATGAGCAGCTTTATTTTTTGTTGTTGTTGTTGGTGCAACTTGTTTTTATCACCAACTAATGAATGATTCATTCATTACTTCCTTTACTCTCCCCCTGTCTCTGAGGCAATGTAAACATCAGTCACAAGGCACAGAGCCGGTCCAATCGGTTCTGAAGCCAACGCTCTTGGCTGTCTAATGACAGCAGGTGAAGTGGCTTCTGTGCACAAAGGTGGCCACAGGTAGTGAAAATCTGAAACGGATTTAGGGCCGGCTATAATCCCATGCTGGCTGCATTCTGTAAAAGCTAAAGAGAGCACCATATACTTACCTGTTACCAGGAAAGGCCCAACTCTGTGCTCAGCAGGCCCCCGGGTTCCCCACTGCTTACTCAATGCACTGAAAAGTTGAGAAATCGAGGTACTTGTGAGTGTTTGGAGTTTGTGTGGCAGCAGACTGATTTTAAAGCAAATTGGTCACTTTGTAAAATGTACACCCGTTACTAATGGCTTTACACGATGTGTAATAGTAAAAAGTACTCTTCTACATATAATATGTTGTCTCAGCAATGAGGATGAGCATCTGATGTATATGCTACTTCTGTTTTGTCTGCAGAGTTCCCTGTGGCCCATGACCTTTGGTTTGGCATGCTGTGCTGTAGAGATGATGCACATGGCTGCTCCACGTTATGACATGGACAGGTTTGGAGTGGTTTTTCGTGCTAGTCCAAGGCAAGCAGATGTTATGATTGTGGCTGGAACGCTCACAAATAAAATGGCCCCAGCTTTAAGAAAGGTGATGATATGATTTTTGTCTTTTACAACCATGTACCCTAGATCAGGGCTCAAAATTTCCACTCGCCCGCTCGCATTTGGCGAGTGGAAATAAAGAGAGGGCGTGATAAAAAGTAGTAAGCTGCTTTCAGGCATGTTTATGTCCCAGAAAAGCAAGTTACTCTGACAGTTGCAGATGGTGTTTGTGTATGTTTTGAATATTGAGTTGTTAGATAATGCTGTATTTGTTAAAAAACATTCCGCATATACTGAACTTGGAATTTTATCTTTTAAGCCTGTGACATGGAAGGCCTTGACAGCAGCAGTGGGCGAGTGCAATAGCCAGCCTACTATTGGCTATTGCAATTTGAAGTAGCCAATAGCAGGCTGGCTATTGCTTACAACCTGCTGTAATTATAGTCAGCTGCCTCAGAAGGTAGCTGACATTATTCAGTTTAAGTATTTAAGTGGAGAGGTAACACTAGGGGTCTAATAGACCCCTAATGTCATGTTAAAGAGAACCTGTCATCTTTGTACAAACGAAATATTTTAAAAAACAAATTAAATATACATTTTTTTTTTAAATAAAATAAGTCATAAATTACTTATCCTGCCGGTCCCATGAATCGGGCAGGTACAAGTACAAGTAATTTAGGGCAGGGAGCCCCCCTAGCGCACGCACGAACAGAATACAGTTAGGGTTTTAAACAGCCAATACCGGCTGTTCCATACAAGCGTTCGGGCAGCTCTAGATCCACCCGATAACTTGTATGGTGCCAAAGACTGTGCACCCCATCCCCAAGGAAGTTCAGATTATCCCGGGCTCCTCTGTCCACCGTGACTGGCACAGCAGCTGTCTATACTGATAAACAGGGGATATCAGCATTCTTCCACTTGCTGATCTCCTCCAATCTCCGAAGGTGAAAGTTCATTTGGGGTCCCTAGGTGACATTAGTGGTCTAACAGACCACTAACGTCTCCATAAAGAGGACCTGTCACTGTATATTTCCTATCACAGGGGACTAAAAAAAAACCTGGCTCCTAGATTCAAAGCAAATTTCTCAAGCCTTGTTATAAGAAGTCGGTGATAAAGGGTAGATATAAGACTGAAGTTGTTTCCTGTGTATAGGTAAATAAAACCTAAAAATCAACGGTTTACTCTTGCAGTGCTCCTGTTTTCTCTAAATATTTATTTCTAATACAGTGGCGTATTTAAAAACCCCTGCACTAAATGTTCCTAGTGCATATGTTTTCAATGACAGAAAATGTTTTAAAAATATGCCCCTAGGTGAGGCTGGACAAATCCCAGGAGCCAGGCAGCCATTGCTCCTTAAAAATGACAGCTGGTGCCGAACTACTGAGGTTTTCTCTAATTGTCAGTGGAGCTAGATCCTGGATTGGACAGATTAGCTTCTGAATTCCATATTCATTTTGTTTACATTTTTGGACAGATGTTTGTTAGATTGTAACATGTATGTCTTCTACCATCCACAGGTTTATGATCAGATGCCCGAGCCACGTTATGTAGTGTCCATGGGCAGGTAGGCCCTCTCTACTTCTTCTCTCTGCCCTCTGCATTTTTCTGTGCTCTAATAGTATGTTCTTGGACCTCTGCTCTTTTGTGTCGTTGCCATGGTCTTGGCACATGATACTAAATTCTTTCAGCTCCTGTTCTCCCTTTAGTACTGTCTCAAGTTCCTGTTTATGTATTTTGCATTGCTTTCTTGTTCATTCATTTAATGTTTTGACATCACAAGATCCCCCAGCTCTACAAGCTTTTTGTCTGGGAGCAGTGGTGGTCAACTTGGCAAATATAAAGGGCCTCAAGTGTGTCTCTTAAAATGTTCAAAGGGCCGCACAATTGCTTACTTTTTGTACATTTTCTATTAGTACATTACATTGCAACACACCCAGGCAAAAAATATTCTGTTTACATTAAATTATGTAAAATTAGGGGCCCATTCACAATTGTGTTGCGTTAAAGTGCATGTTTTACTTTTCGTTACTGCAACGCACTGTAAAGTGTGCACCACTTTGCATTCATTTAACTTTGAATGGCACTCTAATGCACTGTTACAGTAGGGGGCAACGCACCTGCACTTTATTTTACATAGCATGCAGTTGGGTGTGCTGTAAATTGTGTCTGATTTTGGGGGGTTGAGGTATGTTGCCAGCCCATCAAAATGGGCTGCCTTTAACACCGCACGTCTTAATGCATGGTACCATGTTGTGTTGGTGCTCATGCGTTAATGCAATCATAGTCTAGATCAGGGATAAGCAACCTTGGCACTCCAGCTGTGTTGCAACTAAAACTCCCATCATGCCTGTACCTCTGGGAGTCATGTCTGTGGCTGTTAGAGACTTGCAATGCCTCATGGGACTTGCAGTTCTAGAACAGCTGCAGTGCTGAGGTTGCCTACTCCTGGTCTAGATGGTTCAGATTAAGTTTGTTGACATGCATAGAAATTGGCATGTCAACAAAATGTTCACAAGTTTGCAATTGTTAAAATTGTAATGCACATGTCATCCACAACTTTTTTTTTTTTCCTTGGGGGGGGAGGGGGGGGGTCAGTTGAGACTTGATTCAGCACCCTCATGCAGCTCTGTAGCAACATATTACATTGAATAGTTATCTATTGGTAGCTGACAGCATGTTGCTTCCATACAGGCTGGTGTGAGAGGGGTATACAGCAGCAGTATGTAGGTGGGCACAGGGTCTCTTAAGATTGCTCTAGATTGCATGCTCATATTGACAGGACCTGCTGTCTTGTTTTATTTTGTTATTTCTTTGTTTTGCTAATCCACTCTATGTACAGGGCTTTGAACATTTTGCATGAACACTAGTAGGTCTATTTACAAAATGGTGAAGAGTTTGGAGAAGTGAACAATCTAGATCAACATAGCGGATTTGGAAACATTCTCCAATTCAGCTCACTTTCCAGTTCAGCTATGTTGTCCTAGATTGTTCACTTCTACTTCCTTCTCCAAACTCTTCACCCTTCTGTGAATAGACCTGTAGGACTTGGCACAGTAGATATATCAAGGAAGGCATCCTTGTTGTGCATGCTCACATTGCAACCTGCAGGCATGAACTTGCTGAACTGCATGGATGTTGAGTTGGCATTCATTCACACAACCTGCGCCGCCTCCAGTTCAAATAGTATGTGTTAACTGTTTAGCTGCTTGCCTATTACATTTCTAAACACGTTTTGGTTAAGGGTAGACAGTTTTTATGTTCATATTTTTTTTTATTTTTTTTAACATTTTTGTTCAGTAATGGGTATTTTTAAAGAGTGAAGTTGACTTTGGTTACTATATGGTGAATAAGTGGTAAGCTAAAATTCAGGGAGCTATGCAAACTGTATATAAGATGTGTGATCACTTTGTGTTTCCCACAGCTGTGCTAATGGAGGAGGCTACTATCATTACTCATATTCAGTGGTCAGAGGCTGTGACAGAATTGTTCCTGTGGATATCTACGTTCCAGGTAAAAAAAAAAAAAAATATATATATATATGTATGTATGTATGTATGTATGTATGTATGTGTGTGTGTACCATTTTATAAAGCATTTATTCTTAGGAATTTTTAAAGTTCTTTAAAGGCTGTGCTTACATGAAGATCGCTCCAACCAGAGCATAATTCATTACCTGAAAACATGCCAGGGTAAATCTGGCTTACATGACTCCACTGACATTTTTAAACGCCTCTATGTGGGGGAAGAATAGCCTAGCAGTATATAAAAACGCAAGGAAAACAAGTTGTCAAGAATATTGACCAAGTGGGTTCCCTGCTCGAAGGTGCAGAAAGAAAAAAA